GGTGAATGGAGTAGAAGTAGTGGCATATGTTGATTTTCCACAAAATGAAGACAAGTTTTGTATTTGGCATCAAAGATTTGGTCATTTGAATGCTAAAAGCAAGAAAGAACTCTAATCTATCGTAAGTGGCTTGGATCTTGGTCAATTTAGCCACAATACTATGACACTTGCTTGTGAAGATTGTATCCAAGGCAAACAACAAAGGGCTTTATTTCCAAGTGGAATTACAATATGTGCAAGCAAATTATTAGAGATAGTTCATTCTAATATTTGTGGACTAATGAAGACACCATCAATTAGAGGACCAAGGTACTTTGTGAAATTTATTGATAATTTCTAAAGAAATATGCAGATATACATCATTAAAGCCAAGAGTGAGTATTTCTCAAGGTTTAAAGAATTCAAGGCACTTGTAGAGAAGCAATATGAGTGCAAGATGAAAGTGTTGCATACGGACAATGGAGATGAGTACATATCAAAAAAAATTGATGAATTTTTGAAAAATCAAGGTATTACAAGACAAACCTCTATTCTTTACACTCTACAACAAAATGGAATTGTTGAAAGAATAAATCACACCATTGTGGAGATGGCAAGGAGTATGCTTCATGAACAAAACCTTGGGCATGAATATTGGGCAGAAGTTGTCATCAATATAATATATATATAAGGAATAGATGTCCAACAAGTACACTCACATCAATGACTCCACAAAAAGCTTAGAGTGGCAAGAAATCTTATGTTTTATACATGAGGATCTTTAGATGTATTGTTTATGAAAAGAAACCAAATTGCATGAGGTCCAAACTTGACGCAAAAAGAACAAAATGTGTATTTATTGGATATTATGAAGGTACCAAAGCATATAGGCTCATAAGTTTAGAAACCAAGAAAATCATTGAAAGTTGTGATGTAGAGTTTTTGGAGCACAAGAGTACTTGTGAACACTTGGAGATGTGTTCAAGTGAGAGTAATGGTGTATTTATGGACACATCTTTAAATCGAGTGATGAAAAACGAAGAAATTGATGATGATAGTGAAGATGGTGGAATTTCAAATCAAGATGAAGAATCAAAGAAGGTAGATCATGAAATGCCTATAATTGCTAAAACCAGAAATGAAAACAAGCAAGATATTGAAGATATTGATGGTGATGAAGAGTACCAATCTTTAAGTATGAAGAGATAAGTTTCAAGAGAAAAGAAGATTGCAAGAGCTATTGGAGTGCATGAAGGTGAATCTTCATCAAGTGAAAGGAGATATCCTTTATGAGATCAAAAACAACTTGGTGCATAGTAGAAGAACTCTATCTTTCCTCAAGTAAGTAAAAAATATGCTAATATTGCACTCATTGCTGATCCATTGAATTTGTGTAATGCAGTGAAGTCCATGGATGCTATGAATTGGGAGAATGCTATAGAAGAATAGTACAAATCACTCATGGACAATGGAACATGGAAATTGACTCAACTTCCACCAAATCGATCTTCAATTGGTTATAAGTGGATATTTAGAATCAAAAGAGATGCAATGGATAATATTCTGAAATACAAGGCTAGGTTGGTTGCCAAAGGATATTTACAAGTTTTTGGAGTTGATTTCAATAAGACATTTGCTCATGTGGCCAAATTCACTATCATTAGAACAATTGTGGTAAATGGAGCAGCAATGGATTTGGAGATGCATCAAATGGATGTAAAGATGACTTTTTTAAATGGAAAGTTGGAAGAAGACATCTACATGGATCAACCTTAAGGATTTGTTGAAGATGGAAAACAAGACCTTGTTTGTAAGTTGAAGAAATCCTTGTATAGGCTTAAGCAATCTTTAAGGGCATGATACAAATGTATTGATACATTCTTTGTGAATGAAGGATTTGTAAGGAGTGAAATTGATCATTCATTATATGTGATGCAATCAAATGAGTTCATATTGATTGTCATCCTCTATGTTGATGATTTGATCATCTCAATCAATACTATGAAGATGATGGATTGGTTGAAGGCAAAGTTTGGAAAAGAATATCAGATGAGTGATTTGGAAGAATTTCACTATTGTTTAGGACTGGAGTTTGTAAGCGATTGTGCTAAGAAGACCATTACAATGAGCCAAAGTAAGTACATTAAAGAAGTGTTGAAATGATTCAACATGGAAGAGTGTAAGTCTATTGGAATATCTTTCGAGGCCATTTTGAAGTTGATGAAGCTCATGAAAGAAGAGTTTGCTAAAGTTGAAGGAAAAATACAAGGTGTTCCATACAAGACAGTAGTGGGTTGACTAATATATGCAATGGTTGGCACAAGAGTGGATCTTGCATATGCACGAGTGTTGTGAGTCAATACATGTCAAAAGCTGGACCAATCCATTAGACAACCATAAAAAAGATCATGACATACTTTAAAGGTACTTTGAACTTCAAATTATGTCTTGGATGTGATAACATTACTATGCATGGTTATTATGATGTAGATTGGACTAGAGATGCAAATGATAGAAGGTCAACAATGGGATATGTATTCTTTGTTGGAGTAGGAGTAATTTCATCGAATTGCAAAAGACAACTAACAATTGCAAGGTCAACAATGGAAGCGGAGTACATGGCAGCAAGTTATGGTGCAATAGAAGCAATATAGCTAAGACAAATTTTAGAGGATATTGGATTAGTACAAATAGAAGAAACTCCAATGAAGTGTGACAACCAAAGATGTCTTACATTTATAAAGAATCCAAAGCATCATTCAAGGACCAAGCACATTGACATTCAACATCACTTTATAAGGGAGAAGATTGAAATGGGAGTAATTGTTATGAAGTATTGTGCAACGGAAGATATGCTTGCGAATTTGTTGACAAAGGCATTAGTAAAGGATAGACACCACATGTTGACAAAGACATTAGGATTGAAAGTCTTTTGACCAATAGCAAAGTGAAAGTATTGAAGTAAAAGTAAAAATAGAATAAGTTACCTTATAGAGAATATTACCTTAGATAAGTTACTAGTGGTCAAAGGGTTGAGTCTTGGTGTATAGAAAGAGCATCCTATGGATATAAGATGAGTTCAAGGACTAAGAGTCAAAGTCAAGAGCATAAAGTATGAATCAGAGAATATTCAAAGACTAGATAAGAGTAATTAGTGTTTGGCATAGGATACCTTTGTGGTTAGTAAGATGCCAAAGGATCCAAGGACCATAGAATATCCTTGAGGTACATTAGATACCATAGGATCCTAGGACCTAAGATCATGTGTGTAAAAGTCAAAGAGTGGAAGTTGTCTTGTAAGGCAGCAACTATAACTTATAAGTATCGGGTGTTGGAAGTGAAAGACACCTTACTCCATACTTTCTTTATGTGCAACCTTGCTGATGCTATGTATTGTGACTTTAAAGTTCTATTTCTTCAATATTTATTTAGTTGCCACCTTTATGTCTAAGTGCAATAATGTAAAAGTGTCTATAGATTTATGTGGTCAAAACCTCTTCTTTTTGTATATAAGCAAAGCCGTGCCAAACTTCATCTAGACTTTTGTAACAAGCTTTGAATTTTTTTAATTTTTTCTTTTAAATCTTAGAATCATGTCTTAAAATTTTAATTAACGATAGAAAATTTTATTACAATTTTTTAGACAAAAACATTAGGATTTAGAGTTTGAATACAAAAACATCTAATTTAGTGAAGAATGGTGTACTACCTTCATAGTTTGGTAGTTTTATTTTACAAGACTTCTTTTCATTCTCTACATATTAGATAGCAACAAATATTTTTTTTATTGAAGATTTAATAAAGTATAGTTTTTAAAGAGCTAAGAATTGATAACTTTGAAGTTGGTATGTTATAAAATTATTGATTTTTATGGCAAAGAATTTGTTACTTGCAAATTCAAGCTGTCAATTAGAAATATGATTTTGGAAGGCAAGATCATGACGATTGAAGTAATCCAAGAGCTCAATTTTTGAAAGAATGTGTCACTTGAAGTCATAGTATTAATAAGCTCAAGATCATTGAAGAAAAATTAAGGACAAGATTATAACACTTAGTTTTGTATAAGGTCTACCTTGTTGGATCAAAGCATCAACTTTGAAGGGCAATATTGCAAGTATACAAGCAAATCTTAAGGCAAATTTAGAAAATGGATGTACATTCAAGTCTTATTTCCAACAAGATTAGTTGGGCCCAATTTAGAACTTAATAATAAATGTAGCATGTTATTTTGTGAAGGGGGGTATACCAATAAGTTAAGATGATTGATGTCTATTCAATTAATAGACATCAATTTTGGATGAATATAATAATTGGATATAGTCATTAATTTGAATATGATGTATTCTATGGATAAAGAAAATTGAAATGATATCCATTATAGAAATTATGATGAATATTGATTGGATGGATGAAACTTAAATTATTAATAGAGTAATCATTCAAAATAATTAATTACTATTAATTTTTGTATTGAGTTTTACGACATCCAATTGGGATGCGCTTAATTTATTTCATACAGGCCATATCATGCCAACTTAGACAATTGAATTATGGCTCATGAAAGCAAAAACAATATTTGTGGCACATATGAAGTGTTTATAAATGACTACACTAGTGTAAATATCTTTGTTGTATTTATCACTCCATTTATCAATCTTTTCAGGGCCATCATCCATTGCCAGCATTTGAACTCCATGGTAGCTGTCTAATGCCCCAGTCTTATGAAACATAGGTGGTGCTTATTGAGTTTTCTTGAGTCTATATCAACATTCATGACTGTGTCAAGCACTCCTAGCAGCTATTCTCATTGTCCAACTCTACCTTCTCATGTGCAAGTAGAGTGAAATGAGGAGCTCCGACAGACCTGAAGAGTAAATCAATTCCTTGAATCCCTTGGTTCCCATAAGCAGTTGCTAATTACCAACTGATTCTGACCCCTTAAAAAGCCACTCATGGTCGTTCGTTCAGTCTGACATCGTGTTAAAGTATGATAATTCAAAATTTGTGAGGGTGTGTTGATGTCATCAAACTTAACTTCCTGTTTAGAAGGAATTGAGCAGCACAACATCAAGGAACTTTACTAAACTGGAAGCCAAGAAATTGGCAGTAATTGAATCAAGAGATTGCTCGCAATATGATCTCCCCTTCCTTCTCAATGCGCACAAATGAAGTACACGTTCGCCTTCGACTCAGTTTGTGGTGTAAATAGCAACGTCATCCTTTCCAGTGCAACTATGCACCAAAGCTGGTGGGAATAATCCCAAAGATAACCACTATTGTGCCCCGCCTGCCTCATTAAACTCCATCTCTGTCGGGACCAGCATCACTACACAAAATCTTACTAATCTAAAATGGAGATCCAGCCATTCCAGGAAATAACTCGGAAATTTTATTGAAAACGTCCATAACCTGCATAGTTCCAGGTCAAATGATCAAGATCGCGTCAATGGGTCATCGTTACCACCAAGACCTTCGTATTAGGGAAGATGTAAAATTAACCTGTACCATTACTTACAGCAAGGAAAAATGTTCTAATGCTTTAAAGCTTTTAAAAAGATAAGAGCAGTCACAGTGAATACGTACCTCCTTGTCATTCTGGTACTTAGTAATATTTAATGGATTTGTGGAACACTGTAACAATCACAGTAAAAACACTGGCTATTAGAACAAGTGCGATAATACGAACACCATGCATTATTTGTTGGTTGATGTTCCCTTCCCACCTTCCATCAGCCAACTAAATAGACACCTGACCCACCATTCATTCATAATGACATTTGCCATAATCTCGTCTCGAGCAAGACCATTTTAATGCACAATCTCGTCATTTATGAGTGCGACCACAACTTACATCCATGATAGCAGCCTGGACTTTCGGGTTCTGGAAGGCTACTGCAACTTCTGGATTTGCCATGATCTTTGCTACCACTTCTTCAGGAGTCAGCCCAATTTGCTCTGCAGCAGAAAGGTGGACATACTTTCATACTCGAAAGAAAACAGTACATACACAGCAGAACAATCGTTAAGGGAAAGAGCTAGTCACAACTTGACTATAAATGTAAAAGTATCACAGGAATGTAATCGAAATGTGATATGCACCCTTCTGAACGTACCAAATTGTTGCTTGACCTCGGTGCTGTTGAGATCGAAGTTCTTAAGCATGTCCGACATGCGGTTGTCCCAAGCACCATCTCCGCCCATGCTATTCCTGTAGTAGACAAGCCCAAGTCAAGGTTAAACCAGATATAAATTTGAGTCGTGTTTCTCTAGCAATTTACCACAGCAATAATCGATAGACACAAATTACCACTTTTCTAGTCTCTGATTATCTCTAGTAGATCTGCTTAAGAAACTTACAGCATATCTTGCAATTGTTGCCGATACTGAGGGTTTTGCATCATCCCTGCATACATACTCGCTAGATTAGCCTCCAAATGACCTCTCAACCATACGATACTTCTGAGTATGAAAGTCATAAAACTTTTCGACGATCCTCTAGAAGTCGCGTACGTGCAGCTATTGTTCTTAAATATCCATTCTGTAACGCAAAACCAATTCGAATATATATACTAAATCATGGATCACTTTCACAAACAGTGCACTTACATTTAAAGGTGGTTGGGTTCCTCATTTCCTCAGGTAAGTACCTGAAAAATGTGTAATGGAAAGCATTAGCAACCACGATAACCATCCATTCACTACTCATCCACTAGCAGCATCAATGTATACATCTTAACTTTACAGATTAGTAATTAGTGGATATAATAGAGTGCATGTCAGAAAGAGCAGCACAGTGAAAGTCAGAATATCTAGTTGACGACCCCCGAAAACAAAAGATGGGTCAAGGTCTAAATAGCCATACGGATAAACCATCTTTTGAACTGTTGGGTCCTCCATCATCTTCTCCAACTGCTCCACACTAAAAACAGTCTGCTTTGCTTTTCCCGCAGAATCCCATGCTGTTAACCATAACGAACAGCCCCATCCATTTGAGAAATTTTACAAGGTACCTCGAATTCTCTCGGTGCATGTTTCAAACTCTCTTTCAGGATTCACAAATGAACACAGTGCGCAGACAAATTTAAGACACAAGGTAAAGGGAATTCAAAAGCGTATTAATTGAGAAACCGTACGGTCGTTCGAAGGACCAGCCCCGGCTCCACTGTAGCTTCCACCCTTAGAATCTACCACCTTGCATCCCACAAGCGCCTCATGTTTCAGATTTTCAGTGTGCTCAAAACAATTGACGATTATAGTCATAAGCAAGAAAGTTCAAGATATGGGCATCGTACAAAAACACTTGCTAAAGAAAGCACTCTCGTTGTCAAAGAAATGTTTCACTCGGTCCTCTCAAAAGTCACGCCGTACGCTGGGTTTCCATTGCTATAAGAATATAAAGATAAATCTTAATATTTACAAATACCATTCGCTGATGCAGTTCAGGTGAACAACCAAGAGCCCTAATTAGAGTCAACTCGAAGTTTCCAAATCACTCCACTCGGTTTAATATTGGAAGATGAAACCGGTACAAACTTAAGGACCACAGAGGTTACCTCAGAATCTGCGAAGAAAGGCCTAGTAGGCTCTTGAGCTGATGGGGATTGATCGCTAAATCTTGAGGCTGCTGCAGCTGCTGCTGCTTGCTGCTCTCTTTCTAAGATTTCGGTTGCGTTGACGTCTGTGAAGGCTGTAGAAAGAACACGAAGTAGACAAATCAAATCGGGTAAAACGAGGGCCGTCATAAAAACACGTCAAAAAGGATTTCATAAATAACTGCCTACACAATCGGTTTGTTATCACGAGGAATATATCCAATAAGTGTGGACCGTCACAGGCTGGAGGAATGGATGCAGCGGCAATATTCAGAAAAAAGACACAAATTGCAAAGCTCGTAAAAGAGTTGGTTTTCAAGAGATCAAATTCACAAGATAGTCATTGCGTCAACTTACCAGCTATCTTGGGTTCGGTAGAAGATTTTGGTGTCTCACTTACGACAGAAGGCTGAGATGACGTCACATTAGGAGAAACATCGACTGGTGCTGCAGCAGCTGCAGCACTAACAGGAGAAGAAACGGACCCGGTAGGAGGCATGGGGAACGGGAACCCAGCGCCTGGTGGAGGCATTGGCATGCCAGCAAATGGATTGCCACCAGGTGCTCCAAACGGACTAGCACCAGGGCCCCCAGCGCCCCCGCTCATTGACTTCAACATCTGTTGCATTGCGTATCTCTGCACAAACATCGTGATAATTCTAAAACTCTGAATATTCGTTTCTAACTGTAACTATGATTCAGAGATCAGTAAACTGTGAACGCCGAGACCACTTAACACTACATGTGAAGACACAGAAAGTTCATTTTTTTTAGTAATAGTAGTATTAATAGAAGGAGGATAAAAACAAGCCGAGAAATAAGCTTGACCTTCACGCTGTTAGCACCCTGCGAGCCAAAAAAAACCCAACACAAATCAGTCATGACCAAATCATTGGTATCCAAAAAAACAAAAAACAAAACAAAACAAAACAAAAAAAACAATTTTTTAGTATCTGCCCTAAGTAATACAGACGATCTACATCAACATCGGCATAACCTAAATTTCCTGATTTTTAATTGAAATAACCATACAAATTGTGAGAAGCGTCTTTATTACGAAGTCAGAGGTTTTAGTAGCAGTAGCTTGGCCCCAAAAGCGCTTGGACTACTCAATACTCACAAAAGAGAATAGTGCTGAAAGACCCACTCCCACACCGATCCATAAAAGAGGTGATCCACTGCAAAAATCGATGTAGTTTGAACCATTAAACACGCATACCTTGAGAAATTCTAAGTGACGAATGCTTTTATTCAGTACAGGTGAATAAATACTTGGCTAGTAAAAACTTGAAGATACTCAAAAGAAGCAATTCAATCCCCCATTAGCTAGCCTTCACAAATACATTTTACTTACCACATTCGAAATCGGTAAATCTCTGCTACCTAAACTAGCATTACCTTCAGAATGCACTCACCCGCTAGGGTTACGTTTCTGAAAGCAAATAAAGCAAACTACATGAAAGAGTACCTAAGAGTAATCGAAAAAATTTCTGCAAAATGAAGCCAATAAGGTTACTGAATACAATGTACAAAAGAAGAAAAACGGAGGAGGAAGTAACAAACGTACATGTAAGAAGACCCAGATCCTTGCGATTCAGCGATGCTTTCAATGTACTCATTCGAATCATTCTTGGTAACAACGTACTCCTCTTGCTCTGCCATTAAACAATAGTTTCATTATGTTGAAACCTTCGTCGTAATCAGGGCAACATAGCGAAGTTGATCAATGACTCATGGCTGAATTTTCATGATCATGATCCAACAGAAGCACATCCGACACTAAGTGACTCCCGCATTACAGTATCACCTTTCATATTTAAGCTGGGTGGAAATGTTTTCATTTTCACCCTCAATATTCATCCCCTGAGTTGCAGAGACATAATAGATACAATCCACTTTCGCAGAATTTTAAAAAAAGAATATGTAAAATTCAAATGCTCCGCATTTTTTATTAAAAAACATCCGGAGCTCATCACAAAGTCTTCACGGGCCCACTCCAAGCATCAGAAGTAAGATTATTGACTCCGAAAGCCTCAACCAAATCCCAAGAGACCTTCCAAAACCCTAACTCAACCAACTAAACCCCAAAACGCTTCTCACGCAAGCAGCAAATGCGCAATCCAGAAAGGAATTGACACTGACCTGGGGTGGACTTCCGAGCAGCTGCCACAATACCCTCCGACCTAGAACCTTTCTTCCCGCATCTCCCACACTCAATCCCCACGTCCCGCAGCTTGGCGCCCCTCATGAACCTCTGCGCAGCCACCTGGAATCCCTGCTGCCCTTGCCTGTGCCCCGACCCAGCCCTAGCACTGGACACCACAAAGCAAGCGCGCGATGAAGCTACGCTGCTGCCTGCATGGAAGACCCGCGACTCCATGGCCATCTCTCAAGCTCAAAAAACTAAGCTCAAAAACTCCCTCAATTTCTAGACCGGTTCTGAACCGTTTCCGATACGGCTTGCGGGCGCCGAAAGCCCTTCCTTGCAAGCCTTTCCTACTCTCGAACGATCCAATTCGCCCTCTCACCAGCACAATCTTGCAGCGACGACAACAGAGCACCAGTAGCAGCAACCTCGCTACGTCCAAAGAGACTCCGCCATCGCTGCACAGGGCACTTGAAGACTCTATACGACCAGCGGACGCAGAACCTAATTCAAGCGGTAATGCACCTCCAGCGCTGGCATGCTTGGTATGTTCGTGTTCATCCCTTAAGTAAATGTACACCGACCGGCGGTCGCAAGAGGAAGAGTGGGTGAGACATTATCCGAATGGTGAGAGATGAGAGCAGAGATCGATTCCCCGCTGTTGTCCACATCACTCCCATCGGTGGATGTTCCTCTTGGATGACATCTGGCGCTGATTACATCCATTCGTGTTCCCCGTGCTTCGGAAAGTGTCCATTTGGGAAACTCGTTTGTGTGCGAGTGTGACACCCCTCTTGATGCTCTATATTTTGGTTGTCTCCTACAAAACTGAGCTCTTTTTATTCATCTTTTTTTAGATGAGAAGAAATACTTGTTTCTTATGAGCACAAAATAATGTGTGATGGGGAATCTTTAAGCACTGTTGGATTGGTGCGATCTACTTGCATTTGTAGACCAAGAACGGCTAAATTCATTGTTTTGGGTTAAATACTTGTTTTTAAAATTATAAATGAATAGAGTCTTAAAAATTATTCATATTTACAAGTAATCTATTATAATACATATATATATCCTGAAGAACCAATATTTAAATTATTTATTTTTGTATTTTATGCATAAAAAATTAAAATAAAGAAGAAATCCAATAATTATTTTATTATATGTAATAAATTAAAATATAAAAGATATTAATAAATGGATAAATATAATATTATATCTTTACAATGTATTAGATAGATTAAGTATTGATTTTATATGCACTAATCGAGATTACGACAATGTATAAAATATCCTAACTTTATATAATTTAGTTGCAATATAAATATATATATATATATATATCCTCATCAAATTCTTTAATAATAATAATATATAAAATTATATTTATTAAAAAGAAAAATAAAAATATTTTTTATAAGATTTTATATTTTAGAATAATAAATTATATAATATAACTTTATTTATTTATTTATTTATTTATTTATTTTATACTCTAAATAATAAACTACATGTTGATACAATTTTAAATATCAAAAGGTATAATTTCTAAAAGTGTGGTTATTTAAGATCAAATCATTTTCAAACAATGTTAAGAAGCTATATTTTATCTTCAATTTATTATATATAATTTTTCTTAAGTGCATGCATAGAAATTTAATATTCAATGACTTTAAAAAATATAACGTAAAGGTCTTTAGATTTATTTAAATATGTATTATAAATATTATGGATTTTAAAGTATTTAAATTTTTAATTTATTATTTTACCTTAAAAAAATTGTGTAAAAGTATAATTATTTTATTATAAAATATTTGCATATAAAAGAAGTTTAATTTTACATTTGTGATTTATTCAAATTTTTTAAAAAAATCCTTTGGCTATTATATTCTTTAAAACATCAAGCATTAATTATTTATTTTTGAAAAAAAATAATTAAACCAATTAAATTATGCTATATTTAATCATATAAAAAATATCAAATTAATATTTATTATGAAGGAGTTAAGTTGCAAATAACATGTTCAAATACCAATAAATATCTATTTATGATTTCTATATAAAATTCTCTATGTTATTTAAGCTTAAGAGAGTTTTTATAAATTATATATATATATATATATATATATATATATATATACATAGTTAAAATAAATTATTAACACAACACCGTAGAATTATTAGAATGATTCCTTCCAACAACCTTTTGGTACTTCTACCTTGTGGTTATTCTTTTTATATATATATAACATGTCTCCAAAACTAATTTCCTATATTTAATGCTTCCATACTTAGAGAAATCTTGATATTATGCCTAGCTTGTCTATACCTCCTTCATCTCATTTAATATTCTTCTACAACTTCAAATAAGGAAGGATTATGTTGTAAAAATAATTGCAATTGTTTTTAATTAAGTCGGTGAAGCAGACATCTTCTAGTATGTTGTCCAATATGATTATTCGAAGCTTAAATCCTTTTAGATGCAAGTTCTATCAAAGTTGATTGTGATGCAAGTTGTTGATTTCAATCCAATGAGAATAATACTTTGTAAAGTTGTTGGATGACTAGAACGTTGTCTAGAATTTGTTGTTAGACATTGTTTTAATATATAAAATTTAGCTTAGAAATGCAATGAACATCATCTTATCAAATAATTTCAACTAAATTGAAAGTTCTTCTTATATTTCAAGCTTATGGATATAGACTCTATTACCATTCTTAAAGTCACTACCAACATTGTTAAATATCAATTTACATTTAAACAAATTCTAAACAATGCTTCTAAAAATCCTAAAATAAACCAATTAAGCTTTAATAAAAGCATAATCAAGCCTTAAAAATTCCAATGAAATCCTAAAGAGACCATAGTTAAATCCTAATTAACTTCTAACCAATTTTAAAGCAAATTCTAACTAAATTCTAATTGAGTTATTACAACTAAAATATTTTTTTTAGCTATTAAAAATCTAAATATAAATATATTAGGATAAAAATTAATTTATCATTATTTATATATTAATAGAAATTAAATAGACTTATAAGTTATAAGAATCTTACTACAAAAAAATTATGAGAATAGAATTTTAATAAGTCTTGAAAGCAATTATCTTAATTAATTTATTATTTTTGTTTATTATCAAGTATTAATGTTTATTTATTAAGACTCATTTCTACATTAGCTTTCTATATATATTTATTACATATAAAAAACTTATAAATTTTAGTTAGTAGTTTAAAAAAGCATGAAAAAAACCTCGTGTCTTTTTGGTTATATAAAAAATATGATTTATAGGTGATTTAAATTAATATTATTACTATAAAAAATTACTGAGATAAAAAATCTAGCCTTAAATTTATATTAAAATTATATTATTAATTTAATTTTTTTTAGAATTTATTAAAATTTTATTTATAATTTTCTAAGAATGTTTAGAATAATTTTCAAGACCTTAGTTAAAAATGAGTTTTATCACCTTGGAAGCCATTTTGAAGAAATAAAATAAGATTTGAAAATCATGTAAGACCTTTAGGCTGATTGGATGTTTTTCAATACCATGGCATAGTCAAAAATTCAAAAATATTAGTTTTACTAATAGAAAATAGGATGACTAGCAGCTAATGTAGTCCTTACACAAAGGGGGATATATAAATAACATATGGATTGTAGTACATAGTTTGTAGGTAGGATGATAAGACATAAGGTCTTGTAGCTTCTATAGGATATCCAATAATAAAAGACTCTTCATTGAAGTTAGCTTATAATTTAAAGTGTTGGATAAATTTTACTTCCATACTTAAGCAATATTCCACTATAGAAGGAGTAGTATGATTTGGTGTAGATATTGAAGCAACTCCAATAATCTCTATATTTTTACTTCTAATAATTCTTATTATTTCTTATGGTGGTAAATTAAATTGATGCATTACAAGCATTAATTTGTTTATTTGCTATTGAATTTGTATCATTGCACTCTTCATTTCAAAAAGTTATTATATAATAACATAATAGAATAAGAAATATCTAATATCAATAAAGGATAGTAGAAGAATTGACTTCTGAATAAAAAAAAATTCTAAAAACAATATCATTTTGAAGTGGATAATATACAACTTTCAATATGCTTATCTTATAAAAAAAATAATAAAAAAATAAATTCTCTCTTAATTAAGAAAATATAAAGCTTTTATATTGTAAGTGCACTCTCATCAATATATCAAAGATTCAAATTTAAATAAACAAATAAGACATATATCAAAGAAATATAACAAAATTATATATATATATATATATATATATATATATATATATTGAGGGGCACGTGTCTAACTTGCAAGATAAGTTTCCTATATGTGTATCACATGGCCAACTTATACTACAAGTTGCTAACATATGTAACATGTGGCCAACTTGTTGGCTTAGTTTTCAACCTATCAATCACTTATAAACACACATAAAGTCAAATCTATGTCTATAAGGCTTCTAAAAAGCTTTTCTACAAAATATTACCAAATTTATATATTATTATTTACTTCTATTTAATTCCTCTTATCTAAGTAATTATTAATTTTGAGTAAAAAACTTAAAAATTAGTAAAAATATAAGAATAAGCTTAAACATTATAAGATAGACATATGGCCATGTTATGATATGATTGACTTTACCATCTAGTGAATGAACAATATTCAAAAAAATGTTGATTAAATTTAAAATAGTTTCTACTTTTTAATATTTATAAGATTAAAACATTCAACAATTGACTTTACAAAATTAACTCAATTCAACTAACTCATTAAAATTTAATTGATTGGTTTTAAATAGAAAATATCATTTGTTAATACAATTAAGTAAAATATTCATCAAAAAATTTATAAACATCAATATATATATATATATATATATATTGGTGTTGATGCTGACATAAATTCAATTTTAAGGCATATAATCACATACAAACAAAATTAAAATACAAATTATCATAAAAATATTAGTTAATTGAAACTTCATGATATATATATATATATATATATATATATCTATATATATATAGATAATAACATTAGATATTTTATGTAAAAAATTAACAACTAAGTAGTTAAAATTAAATATTAATTTTTATTTCAAGATGTATAATTATAAATAATATTTTAAAAATAAAATGTTGTAAAGATTGAGTATAATCTATTGATCATTCTTATTGTTTTGCTATACTTATATAATTTAATGACTTAGTTTTTTAGGATTAAATATCATTTGCTACGAATTTATGATATTGCCTTTGAGACAAATAAAAGTTTAATCATTAATTGAAAAAGCTTTTGATCTACAATGAGATTAAATTAGATGTTTGACATAATATCCAGTAATTCTGAAATTAATGTAAAATAATGCAAGATCCACAAAACAAATCATGCAATGTCACTTCTAATTTTAGATTTATATTATGTAACACAAGATTTGAGTTCATGACTAAAAAAATAAAATAAAAATCTTATAATCATATTTTTATTTCTATAGAAGTCAAAGCATTCTGCTTAATCCTTTTTTTGTTTTAATAGGATAGTTCAGTAACATAATCAGAATTTAATTATAAATTAAGAACAGTTGCATATTACCTATTTTCAGATTACTATCATGCAAACTTGATATAAGTACTTGAAAAGAAAAGAAAAGAAAAGAATCATTCAAAGGCATGACAAATATTGAATAATCATTGAGAATATAGTAGATGCTCAAAGTTGTAAAATTTTCAACTAACCCATTAAAAACCATTATTTATTTCACTTATATTTTAAAATATAACAATGAAGTTCAAAATATTAAAAATGTAATTATAAACCACCATTCAAAATATTCAATGTGGAGCTGTAATAACCTAAGAAGTGAGGTCAGTTCATTAAACTATAGCCACATGATTTCAATTAACAAAGGAAATTAAATTAAATTTCGTTTGTTCATGGCTTGCTTCCATTCTAACCTTAGAATGACATCCTTGAAACTTTCCAAAATTAGGGTGACAGGTGGTTGCGAGGGCGGTGGTGATAGGCCAGTAGGTCGCATCCACCTTTAGCCGTGCAAGGCGGCGGAGATAGGGTGCGGCGGTGGAGGTCCAGGTGGAGGGTCACGGCTGTGGGGGGACAGGGACGGGAACGGGTATGGGGGCGATGATCAAGGGAGCTCCCATCGCCGCGTCTGAAATGTTGGCCGTGTGAGTCTCCTCTCCTCTCTCGCTCCTACTGCCGCGCGAATCCCCCTTCGTCTTCGGCTTCGATTTCTCTACCAACTGTGTCCTTGAGCTTCTTCTAGGCTGTGGTGATTCTCGTGTGGCATGACCTCAATCGGGTCACCGTTTTTCTTCTTCTTTTTTTTTTTTTTTTTTTTTTTTTTTCTTATTCTGCTCTGTGTTGCAATCGTCTTGATTACCTCTTCATCTCATCGCAGCTCACCCCGTTTCTCACTCCGCACAAGTTTGCTCAGCTGCATTCCTTCCCTCAGCTGCAAAATTCTGTGGTCTATTGTGGCGGGGTGTTCGATCCCACGATCGTCGTGCCCTGTTTTGTACCATGGAATTCCTCACTTCATCGGCCTTGCTTCGAGAATCAGCTTTAGGTCATCTTGAGAATTGGGGGTGATTTGTTGGAGGATTCTCGCCCATGATCACAGACGGTAGCGCATGTGAACCTTTCGCCAGCGTCTTTTATTCAGCCAGATAGGACATGTCAGCCGGATGGTGATAGTGCAAGGACGTAGGAGATGTTGGGTTAGGCAGGTTGAATTTTAGTGCTATGCCCGACAGCTAGTTCCTGCTTTACCGGATACTTGTATTCATAGCGCACTGGGGTGCGGTTAACCGTAAGGTGGAGCACGATGGGTTCCTCCGCGATGGACGCCATGCAAGTCCTCTTCTCAGCTTTTGACACTGGGATGTCGAGCGTGTGGCGAGAGGAGGATCGTTCATGGCGTAACGAAGACAGGCAGTGGAGAAGCGAAGATATCGAGTACAGAAAAGAGGAAAGGGAATGGCGGGAGCAAGAGAAAGACATGAGGGAGTCGGAGCTCAGGTGTTTTGTCTTGCCTTCCTTTGCAATTACGCTACCTGTATTGCTTAAGACATATGTTTTAGGGGTTTAAGGCTTCGATCGTATTTGAATGTGCTACTGAACTGGCCGTGCCTCATTGCGGTATTGCAAGTTAAGAATACTCTATTAAAAAAATTAGAATTAAAAATATAGCTACTAACTAAACATACCTGCTGATATGAAAATATAGACCACGACTGGTATCATCATCTAAGTGAGACTTGCCAGAGATTTAAAAATGCTTTCATCTCCCATTGATTTTATGCGTTTAAAGCTAGTGCATTTCTGAGTATAAGAGACGATCGACCGTCAACAGAAAGGTTCTAAAGCAACCTTGTAGAAAATTGAGCTAATTTTTCATTGCTTTGCCATATTTAGTACTTCGATTTGGAAACTTGGATCGAATGTGGGCGCAGGAGTTAAATAAGATCACTCACTCTCCAAACTAGGGTTTTGTATTTTTATCGATAAAAGTAAGTGGGTTTGAATGTTCTGTAGAGGCAAACTTCAGTAACTCCTACTGTAAATTACATGTTGAAAATTTTAAGGCAGCTGTATGGTGATCCATGTGGAGGACCATATATTTATTCTGCTCATGCAAGCCACTATTTGATAGTATGAAACTATTGCTCCGAAAAATAAACATTTGTTGCAGTGCAGCTTTAATACGTGAGCTCAATAAAAATCGGCAAGAACTTCATTATAATTTGGAAGTTTGGCTCTACTATTTGTTGTAACTTTCATCGAATTAACTTAGCCTCTTCGCAAATGCCTTCCATTCAGAGATCTTACAGACATACAAAGTGGCATCTAACTTGGATTTTTGGAAGCAGATGGCGAGAGGAAGACATGGAGCAGCGACATGTGGATAATGCAAGATATCTCTGGGCTAGGTACCTTTTCATGATTTCTATCTGACAGAGGTAGATCCTGTAATATTTGATTGAGATAGGAAGTGTTTTTGTTATCCGCAGTATAAATTCAACGATAGTGAGGATTGCTGACCGTCTAGGATTCTTGGACTTGAGATTCGCATGATGTTTGGGACTTCACAAAGGTTCTAAAATTTGCAGGATTTTTTGTAATTGGGGCGGAATTACAGAAGCTCTTGGGTAGCATATTTTGTGGTCACTTTGTCAGCATATGGGCGTTTCTTAACCATAATGTCTGAGAAATTTCTTGTAATTTTGTGACGCAGATTTGTGGAGAAGAATCGGAGGGATGTAGAAGAGAAATCGGAACAACTTAAAGCAGTTTCGAGCCTTGCTGCGCTCTTTGCAGGCTTTGCTGTAGTGACACTAACGCAATTTGGGTTTGACGCGGACACTGTAGGAATTGTATGGATTGCGCTATATGGAGTCTTGACTGCGTTAGTGGTTGGTCTCATGACTATCTCCATGGTGACTTGCACCCTCATCCTGGGCAGCATATTGAAGAACGGAAAGCTTTATGTTAATGAGGAAGCGGAAGAGGAATTTATGTTCATGTGTAAAGCGTTTGTAAGGAACCACAGAGATAATCCTGATCTGAAACCACCCTCCCCACGACGAACATTTGAGGCATTTTGGCGGATCAGGTGTGAGACAGATTGGCGACGTTCCTTCCAACTGTTTGCATTAGGTGTTTTGTCCTTCTTGGTTAGTCTAATACCGATAGGATGGATCAAATTCTCATATTCCCCTGTCACAGCTGGCTTGTTTATGGGCATTGTAGGAATTTCAGTTATTGTTTGGGGATGTGTCCAGTATTCATGGGGCACACATATGACCAGTAACATACATAGCTTAGAGGAGCACAAAATCAGAGAGGACCATGCAGGTCTTCCGTTCGACTGGCATCTTTCCCCCCTCCCATCAAACAAACTCTGATACCATCACACTGATCAATTTAGACAAGTTTTATAGCCACTTTTCATTTTTTTTATTTATTAGGTCAAGGGCTCTGACATTGGGGTCAATCAACTTTGACTAAGAGCCCTAACGAAACGTCTGCCCTGTGAAAATGTACATCAATCCAATTCTGCACTACAAAAAAATTAATGTGCGTGTTCACTTATTTGTGATTGTGAACCGAAAATAAGAAGGGTGGTCATAGACATACACTTGCTCCAGAATTCAAAGAATTTTGACAGTACACACAGGAATGAAGCTGAGCTCTTATTCTTAGTGTGGAGGTTCTCAGATTGGTTTAAACCAGGAATTCAAAGCTATGATTCATGACGGCAAAGATCCAGAATTTGAGCAAAATTTGGGGTACATTGAATTCTACATGGAATCAGAGATTTCTAAGCCGTTCAAGCTTGGGCTTAGACCTCTCATCTACCAGCAACCTTGTGCAGTTGTAGAAAAGGCTACATTTCTACATAGTTCTGGAAAGTGGTGGACAATTCTGTGTTACTATTTCTCTGCTACTTTCCATGTACTCTGGAAGTATTAAAAACTCTGCAGCCCTCTCATCACCTGATCCAGATTAGGTGTGGAACTGTAGTTTGTGACAGGCACCAATGAAAGTGGTGTGCAGGCAGACTTGGGAGCAGCAACAGATGATGAGGAGGAGCTGAGAAAACTGGCAAATAGTACATGCAGGTAAAGTTTACACATACTGTTTGATGGTGCAACACCATATTACAGATAATCGAATGCATCAAGCAAGGATGCCCTAGTCTAGTATTGTACCACCTGTAATTTCTAACAGATCATAGTTTGTTTGTGATTCTTTTTAATGTGCATAGGGGCAACTTCATCAATGTATCCTCTCACTTCCTCCCAGGCTCCCCTCCTTTGCTTTCACCAGCCCCTAGAGCTCAGATAGTATGTGAGGCCATGAGGAGCTATGCAAGGGTAGGGCAGTGCATGGCTAAGCTAGGGCTTGGCTGGAAAGAAGAAGAAGCAAGGGAGAGGCAGGTTAATGGGGACATGGTGGGGCTGTGCATTGGCTGTGTTGTTCTGAGTTTGCATCCCTTGTCACAATTCAAAAGCCCTGCATTGCTCCTCCATTTCTTTCACCTTCTGCATGAGGAGGAGGAGGGAGCCTTGGATTCTGTGTTGACTGGTAAAGCTTGGATTAAGGCTTGGTCTATGGCTTTCTGTTGGCCCCACTTGTTGCCATTTATCCAATTTCTATATATATATATATATATATATATATGAATGTGTATAAGATTTTTTTTCATTTTTATTTTTAGTACAAAAAATGGTTTTCATTTTGTAAAAAACAATGGTCGGTTGCCTACAATTGAATAAAAATGGGAAAATTCATGTTGCAATTGGTGTCTTGAAGATATGCTTGTAAATACTGAGTTGAAACTATCAAGTGTTATGTATTGTAAACTTTTTAATTATAAAAATATGATAAGTGGATATAATCTTCTTTGTATGTTTTAGAGATAAAAATAAATAATAATTGTGAAATAAATAAATAAATAAATAAATAATTGTGAAATTTAGATTTTATGTTTTAATTAATATTTTAAAATTACCAATTATTGTTAAGGAATTACTTTGCACTATTATGTGTGTATTATTGTCAATTAATTTTTAGTCTACACTTTATTTCATAGAGATAAAATTTGACTAACTAAGTACATTATTTAAATTTTAGCCAATATATATTTAAAAATATATCATTTTTATTTATTATTATTATATTAAGAATTGATCATGTGTAATAAATGATCTTTCTGTTATCACTAAGTTAGGAGAAGATATCATAAATCTTCAAAATCTTCTAACAGAAATACACACACACACACACACACACACATATATATATATATATATATATATATACTGAATGTAAAATAAATCATACAATTACATTTATCTATTAAGATTTTATTACATTCCAACTCCAACAATAAATTGGATAAGTGCTTGATATATTGTGCAAAAATTTCATCATTATAAATATTTAAAATTTAAAAATAAATAAGTGAATAAAAATACTTATAGTACATTTTGGTTGTTTATAGTTTTATAAATGCATAAAAACCATAAATTTGAAAATGTATAAAAGATAAAAGGATACATGCACATCAAGTCTGCAAGACATTTACTTGTATTTCATCGAAAGAACACTGACAGTTACACAACTGTTGAGAGAGTGAAAAACTTACTAAGGAAAGAAAGATAGGTTGCCTCTGATTGAAGCACAAAAGAAACAGATGGGACCCAGATGATGGAAGTTTGTAAAAACTGGGACTCATGCCTCGCACACTGCAAATGTGTAGAAAGCAAGAGCAAGAGCAAGAGTGGGCAGATGCTCAGTTGGGTAACGCTATACTTGCAGCATCGAGCATGGATCCAGGGCTATGATACGAAGAGTGAGAAGCATAGTGAGGCAGGCAGTGCTTGTCATGAGCCAGGGTTTTGTTGTTATTGTTGTGCGGGAAAGGGCCTCCATAGTCAGTCTGCTCTTCAACAACAAGATCATCTGGAGCTCCAGGACTGCGAGGAGGATGACTGTAACCATCTCTGGGCTCCCATAAGGCTGGACTATTTGACTTGCAGACCATGAACTATGGACAATGCAGCTCACGGACTTCCAAACAACTGAAAGTGCAGATGCGGTGATACCCACTACACACCCCCTTTCCCTCTGAATTCCGCTTTTATGCTCGGGAATATCTGCAGGCCTCTCGAGATCAGCTCCCTCCAGTCGGCGAATCTTGCAAATTTTGCCTCTAGTCAGCAGAGCTCGCTTCGATAGGCTCAAGGCAAGCCTACACTCCGAACCTCATGCCCTTGTCCACCTCATGGGCACATAGGTGAGAGGCCATGCCCGGATTTCAGGAATCGAGTTCACTGTAGAGGAACGAGTTTATAGGATACAATGGCACCACCAGTCTACTCGGTAAAACGTCACCTACGCCCCCATGAAGACCTGTGGAACGCACAGAATGGAGCTGGACCACGCAAGGTTGTAGCTGGGTAATTCTCCAGTAGCTGATGTGATCCAACCGACATACAGATAAGGAGGGCTCACGAGAATTGTACACACGGTGTGGTAAAGCGCTAAAAAGGATGTCTACCGAAAATCGATGCAGATAAAGTCAAACTAGAGATGTATATTTTGGAAAGTAAAACAAGAGATGGGATATATTTCGTCTCACACGCATGCATTGTGGTGGTCTGGCTGAAACAGCCCGAATATATCTACTACAATAGTAATGTAGCATTATTTGCATACTCTCCAGTGACTTCAGGTTGTCTCATAGATCAAACCAATTGATCCAGTCTATGATCCCCGTTTCTCCTTGCACTCTGAACCCTGGCACCCTATTCATATTGCGAAAGTTATTGATCGAATCGAGAAAGTGTTACTGGAATCTCACCATTACCGTGTCTAGCCTAGGGGCTCACTTTTACAGATATCGAGATCCGACCCTAGCTGACATTTAGAGGTCAGCACGAGGTTGTAGTCTCTTTCAAAATGACCAATTGCGAGGTTGCCAACACACGCTGTGAGATCATTTCCCACAGTTAAGGGGACGATTCCTTTTATGACTTCATCTCATGATTTGGCCTTACACCAGACCGCTCAAGTTACTGCTCTTCTCAAACGGTGAATTAAGGGCGAGGTGTAGGAAGTTTCAGAGGCAGGGTTGATACACTGCTTGATTCGCCTTAAAGATTTTACTCAGTGTAATTGGAAAAGCTTTCTGTTTTAAGTTCCCAACTTTCTCTAGGTCCAGCATATGTTCACATTGAGGGCAGTAGAAACCCCTGCCAAATAGGATCCGGATGGGATTTGGATAACGAGGTGCATTTCGTGAACAACAACTAACGAGATTAATGAACTTGTTCCTTGGTGATCAATGAAAACTATTTTGAAAACCATGATTACATGGTAACTCGCAAAAGCAAACATGCATTCGTAGAATTCTTGCAACAGTTCGACGAATCGAATGTATGACAAGTATCTTTCTTGTCGGCTAACACAGAATTTGTGAATTCTTAAATGGTAATCATCAGAAATTGCAGTTAATGCCATTCTAATATCGTGCACGATTATAATCAGAGAGGAATAGAGTCACCTTCTACAAATGTAAGGTGACTCTATACCTTCTACATATGATGTCAGGATGCGAAACAGCAATCTAGTTCGCTAAGAACTAACCATGTAATTCGAGTTTTCTCAGACACACTCATAGGCATGTATGTAGAGAGAGAGAGCGAGAGAGAGAGAGAGAGAGAGAGAGAGAGAGAGAGAGTGTGTGTGTTGTTTCGCATCCTGACATCAGATTTATTCCCATTTTGACAGAGACAGTTAGCTTAGAAAAGGGCACTATGTACCCTCAATTCAGCAACGAGGTTGAAGATCGCCCCATAATCACCAAAAGCATCTGGGAACTTAATAGTGTAAGACTTTTCACCGCCTTGCAGAATGAACTTTACTGTCTTCATCACGACGCTCACTTACCGTATCACAGCGCACACGATGCCATCTAGCGGTAAGTTTCATGCCGAGTGGCAGTCACATTCACTCAGTTTGAAGTTCATAGTCTAGTTGAGAGGCTCTCTCAAGTAGGAGAATCTCCTGCTTCCAGTGCTTTGGACAATAGGACAAATTACGAATCAATAGTTCACTGATCACTGCAGTTAGTAGGTCAACGATCGTCAACACGAAACCAATCTATACGAATGTTACAGACAACCATGGAGTGGCGATTGTCGTGCGGTTATATCTGGGAAATACTGGAGATGGATCCACGCGCCTGTATGAGAATCAAGCTATCGATTCTGGAAAACTTGAACTACTAACCGACACAAAAGCATGCGGCACTGATTCGTAACTCTGGAACTCTAGTGCTGCGCACCAGGAGTTTCAGACTTCTGTTTACCACCCGCAAACTTTTCGAGGAAGGTCTGCCCAACTTCCACCACTGACTTATGTAAAGCAGCTCATGAGGTATCGCCAAGTTCATTCACGCTTGCAATGTATAATTCCATAAAGAGCTATTGGTTCGTGGATGTCAAATCAGGGGTGGTTTCGGGATATTCTTCCTACTCTGTCACCTGTACACGTCCCAATCGGGCAGCTTGACATAGTCTTGC